GCTATATCGCCATTAGTTCATGGATACGGGTTCCCCTACCTCTTTTCGAATACGGGCGAGATGCGACATGAGTTTTTTGTCTCCCCTTTATCTAACCGAGCACACCAGGAAGCCAATGGACCAAGAACGGATATCCCCAGGTGCCACAATCTCCGTGAGACGCCGACTATACTCCAATGCCTTCTCGTGTAGACCGTGACGAGAGGCGTAAACTGCCAGCAGCTGCAGCACCTCCTTGTGATTTGGGTGATCCTTGTTAATGCGCAGTAACAAATGCTCCGCTTCGGTTTCTCTTCCCGAGAGCAATAGAAACCGAGCATAGTGAATCCGTGCAGCCAGCAGGTTGGGGAGAACCTGCATTGCCGACTCAAGCAGCAAACGGGCGTTAGAGAGATCTCCAAGAGCAAGGCAAAGCCGGCCTTCCTGATAATCCGCCATGGCACTTTCTTCAACGGTGGCCACACGACGCACCTCCGCGAGCAGGCGGCGGATAGGGTTTGCAGATGCCTTTACCCGATCCTGTGTCACGGCGCGGAAGTACACCAGTTCCGCCACCTTAAGCAGAACCGTGGCATTCTCTGGCAGGATACCTCGTAGACGCTGTGCCACTTCAATCACCTTTGGAATTTGGCGACGGTCTAAAAACACCACAAGAAGCACTAATAGGGCCAATTCATCATCTTCATTAACTTCTAGTGCCCGTTCCAGACATCGTTGTGCGTAGTCCAGATGATTCAGGTGGTATGCGCAAAGCCCCATCCCCACACGCACAATAGGAGGGCAGGAGCTGCCAAGTGTTTCCAATACAACGCGATAGTGTGAGAAGCACTTATTGTAACGTTTCATGTGGTAACTTACAGCGGCAAGTCCGAGTCTCGCCAAAACAAAGTAGCGGTCTGCGCGAATCGCCTCCTCAAACTTCACACGTGCCGTCTGAAGACTTGTACCGCTTGCCATTGCGGCCAGCCCTTCCAAATAAAGCAAAACAGGACGGTGCAGCGCGCAAGACACGGTGTCCCTCATGATACTTGCCACCGATCGTTCACCACCCATTGCTGCAATGGAAGCACGCACGCAACGGATAGCGAAAAGATCATGCAAGTCCTCTCTGCTGGGTTCATTCGACGTGTCAATGCCGTCAAGAATTAGCTTGGCACGATCAATTTCACCTCGAGAAAAGGCGTCATGTACTTCCTCCAGCACCATTTGCGCCTGTTGAGAATACACCGCCATAATTTATTAAACCGTGTGTGCGTCCACAGCAAACAGGCAGCCCTCCCTTACCTTTTTTGTTATTGTTGTTGTTGTTATCCTCACGCACACCTTTCGCAGACGACTTCACGACTCAAGGATGGGCAATCGCTGAGTCAGCCTCCCCTCCCAAAAAAAAAAAAAAAAAAAGAGAAGGCCGCAGAAGATTTGCAATATTACTCGTCATCACATTAACTCGCTGTCTTCATGCAAAGACACAATGAGTGGTCGTACTCTTGCGGAATAACAAACCAAACACCCTCCCGAAAAAAAAATTCACACCGTTGCTGCCTTTCTTCACAGTCTCGTGATGCGGCAAAACACCCCGACATGTTCATTGTCATGTCCCAACAACATGTCGTCGTCTAATCCCGCTAACTGCTTCACGTCACACCGTCATAATCAACGATGCCAAGAGCAAATCATCCTTTTTATTAACAAATATTGTTTTCTCCGTTGACTTGGCAAACTCAGAAGACTCAACATCCCATTCACTAGACGCCTCTCATTCACCCTTTCGTTTCTTCTTGTTGTTCCACTACACTCAAAACTTGACCAACTGCAGCAGAGATGCATCCTGAACAGCAGTTTCTCCAAATACGATTTACCCACAACTCCAGCAACCACCTGCGTTGTTGCGTGGCGTATGCTGCGCCGATCCTTCCGGGCATGCACAAAGCATGTGTGTCCCATTAGCGAAGCGTATGCCAGCAATAAAGATCCAAGACGTCAGGCGGGCAAACACTCGCCGTCCTTGTCACGATGCTATTACCATTCTCCCTCCACAGCAAAACTATCGTCTACAAATTCACGGCTGCGCTTAAAAAAGAAGCCAAGAGGAACTTACATGCGATTAATAAAAAAGTGAGGCCAACAACAACAACAATTAATAATAATAATAATAATAATAATAATAATAATAATAATAATAATGCCAAACAAGAAACGGAGAAAAAGCATGGAAAATTATTTTTCGCCGTGTTGCATGTGCGAACACTAGAAACGCAACGAAGGCACATTACAAGTTATAAAACTCTCTCCCTCGGGTACCCGTCCCTCCTTTTTGTATCACTCGCTCATCCCTCCCCTCAATTAATCCGTGTTTTTATCACCCCCCACCCGATCCGTGTCAGCGGCGGCCTCCTCATTGCACTCTACCAGCGGTTGCCCAATTGTCAGTTTGGTCAGTGCGACTTGCCATTCAGCCACCTTTGCAGATATTTGACACGGACACGCCCTCTCTGCCGCAATATAAACCGCACCAACAATAGCCATGTTGCATTTAAAAACGAAGCTGTGATGTGGTGGAAGAGGGGGAAGCAATGACTCCTCCAACTTACTCTGGCTGAGTTGCAGCAGCATCTCCGGGCCAATCTCCACAACAAATGAAGAAGGCAGTCGAGGGATCAGTACGCCGACACCGTCAGAACAAAACCGAAGCTTATCGTTCCTGTACTTCATGTAGGATTCAAAGACCTTGGATCCCACATGCACAACACGAGGTCCCAGTTTCGGGAGAATTTCACAAACCGCCTTATTTGCAAAATAAATCTTCTGCTCACGCGCTGTTTCATTTCGAACAAGCAGCTGGTCGGTTGGAAGAAACTCAGGAAGACCCAAGGCACCCCGTACCTCCTTCTGTAGCGCAGGTGAAACAGACTTAAACGTCTCGCTCTTTTTAGAGGAGGTAGTCGCAGTAGGAGCGGAATACTCCTCAAGGCACTCCATTACAGCAACAAAAAACCCTCCTGTATCCTGAAGGTGCGGCAACACACGTCGGGTGTAGTGTATATTTTGCTCCTGCAATCGCGCTTTGTTGGGAAACATGGTGGCACGGTAAGAAATTCCACTACTTGCACTCGTTTCAGCAAACACCTGGGCCTCCTCCATTGTATGGAGCCTTGCTTTCAGATCCTTTGTGAGAAGTGACCAATCGTCCAACCCCGGTGCCGCCACAAGACCAGGCACAAGCGAAGTGGGATCCATTAATCGAAAGGCACCCTTAGCCTGGAGAAGGCACTCCGACACAACAGCCTCGTCCTCCACAGGGTTCAGACTGCAGGTGGAGTATACAACAATGCCACCCTTCTTGCAAAGCATCATTCCACGCAACAGTACCCGAATCTGAGTGTTGTGAAGCTCAGCGCCCTGAAAAACATTCCAGCGGGGCCACATATCCATTGACTTTCTTAAAGTACCGTCACCGGAGCACATCACATCGCACAGCACGCGATCAAACTTGCTCTCCGACGGTAATAGAGGAAATTGGGTTGCATCGTAGCTTGTCACAATCAAATGCGAGTGAGCAGCCGCT